CTTCCCCCGGGCTCCCGCCGCAGCCCACGGTTGGTGCGGGCGGGCTGCGGGCCGGTCTGGCCTAAGGAGGGCCCTCAGTGGGAGCTTCCTCAGTGCCGGGGCCCAGCGGCCGGGCGGACGCTCTCCTCGGGGCTGCTGGAAGGGAGGCCCGCTCCTCCAGAGGTGTGTGCTATGCAAGGCGATGTTATTTTAAAACACCCCTTTCTGCATTAAGTTCACCTCTTGCTACACACAGAGCCCTTTTTCACACGCTGACAGCACTTCAGCTGCCCAAAGGCACAGAGCTGCAGCAGGCGTTTCCCAGCAGCGAAACCAATCTGCTGCCTCACAGTGAAATTTGAATTTTTAGTGGGGAAGCAGAAATAGCCGGACCGGGTGAGACTAACGACCGCTCCTGTCGCCACCATGGAAGACGTGCTTCTGCGCATCAGAGAGGGTGGCAGTTCAGCATCCCCTTCTGCTCGGGGCAGCCTCTCTGAGCAAACACATCTCCACGGCACCGGGCACCTTCCAGCACGGCGTTAAACAACGCGGTTCACATCTGTCGCCTGTTTTTTTTTTCTCCCCCCCTGTCCCCAGAGGGAGAAGCGTGTGCACGGGCGGGATGGAGCCATGGCGGTGACAGCTGGGCTGTGCAACGGCGCAGGCTCTGCTCCCCCACAACGTGGAGCAGTACTGGGCAGCACTGGTGGAAAAACTGCAGCCCCTTAACCCTCCCTTCACTCAGCGGAGGGTTTGGATTTAAAAAATACGTGTACGTGTGCACACATGCACATAGAAATGTAATATATATGCATACACATGGTGCATTATGTGTAAGGGGCATAAATTTACACAGACAGATTGCTCTTCGTTTATGCTAACGGGGGTCAGAGTATGCCTAACCCGGAGAGCAGAAGGTGGTGGTGTTTGTAATGGCCTTTTGTTCTCAGAGGAGATCATTCTCCAGGCTGGGCCCCAGGAAAGGCCGATCCCCAGCACAGATGAACGCTGCCGTCGCTGCCGGGGTTACGTGATGGCAGAGACATGAAGCTGTTGACCGTGGTCTTCATCCAAAAATTCCAGCTGGATTTTAAATGTATCTAAATCCCAAAGCTTTTGAGTATCACAGAGATACAGCCCAGGATGTTGAACTGATTGTATGGGAAACTGGCTGAGGAAAGAAGCCTTAGACAAAAATCTTACTTCTATACACTTCAGAAATGACTGAAGCACTCTGTATACAGAGGATCTGGTAATCTGGACTCCAGATCAGTGTTTGCAGTTACAGTTTTATATGAGCTATTCTTCCTGCTTCCAGAAATCATTTATGAGGCCAAATAATAGGAGAACTGGCTCCTGAAAGAATCTTGATTCCAGAGTTATAGAAATACAACAAAATATTACAGATTTAGTGTTAGTACTTTCCCAGAAAAGCAAAAAGAAATTAAAAAGAAAGAGAACAGTAATCATAAATACCAATTTGGCTCATTCAAGCATTCAGAGCTGGTTACTGTTAATAATTGCCCTGGAAATACAGTCAGCCAGCACATGAGATACGGGGGACGTTTTTATGGACACTGTGTGCTTGGGAGAGGAGCGAGTCCCGTCTCTGTGCCGGGTGCTGAAATCAAAGCATCACAAATTCTCCAGCATATGCTTAGGGATGGGGAAAGCAAGCACGTAATCTCCTTGAGGAAGTGTAATGCTGACATCGTTATTTCTAAAGTGCTGTAAACATCGATGGTATTTGATAAACAGGAAGATAAAGCAAAACTAGATAAAGACAAGGCTCCTGCCTTGAACATGTACCCTGGGTTCAGTTTGCTGAAACATCACCGTCTTCTCATGCAAACCCAGGGATGTGTCACTCTGCTTTACTCAAGATAAACTTCTCTTTTTATACCCAGTTTTCCCTGGCAGATCCCTCACTTGGTCCCAAGCGTGGAACAGCGCTGGGCAGGACCAGGCGTCCCCAGGCAGCCGGGGTGCCCCGGTTACGTAGGACAAGAGGCAGCCGACCAGGGTGCTCCAGCTGCACCCGCCTTTCCCCTCCCGCAAAGTCAACTGCACCAAACAAAAGAACAGGTTGGAAATTGAGCCTGGCAATAAAGAGGGTTTAATTTCTTTTGTCTCAGCCCTGGCTTTTTTTTTTTTTTTTCTCCTGCCATTTGCACATTTTTTCTCTCCCCTTGAGTGCAGAAGGGGCATGCCTCTGTCCCTCCGCTGAAGGTTTATTCTGGAGGAAACGGTTTAGGTCGCCATCGTGTTTTACAGGGAAACATAGTTTATAAATACAGCAGGGCCCAGCGCTACAAGGAAACATTTTATCAGAGAGCCCCGAACTGACGATTCAATTATTTTTCAATAAAACATCAGGGGAATGCACAAACAGCTGCTCGCATCCTTCCACACAGCAAGTCAAACTTCAAGGGGAACAATAGCTGGCGAAAGGGGAGCCATCGTGGAGGCGGTGACAATGGGTTTCCTTACTCCGGGCTTTGTTTGATTTCCCCGTCTCAGTTTTGAACTCCCTCCACCGGAGAAAGGCGAGGGGGTAGGACGGGGAGAGGGGGAAGCAGGCAGAGGGGAAGGAGGGTCAGTGGGAGTTAAAGCCTTTTGCAGCCTTTCTCTCCCATTCATGTGGTAATTGGGTGTCAAGCAGAGATCAGTAAGATGGAGCCCGGCCTCTGTGCCCGGGTTAAACTGCAGCAGAAAGAAAGCGGGAGCTGAACCGATGGAGGCCTGAATGTCATTAGGGCGGGAGGAAGCGCCTCTCCCCCAGGAGCCCTTCTGCCGGGGTGCTGGGCTGGGGGGGCCGCTTCCCATTCAGGGCATCCCTGAAAGCAGCCAGACAAAGCGGGAGGGCGTCAGAACAATGCTGCACCCCCGGCTCT